TTGTTTAAACACCTGTTCTGGCTGATGTAATGGCAATCATGACTTCTCCTTTGAGATAAGCATGTATTTTTCATTCATTGGGATCATTCACTCAATGACTCCTTGCAATCTCACTTTAGAGATGTAATAATCCAGGATTTCAAACATGACCAAAGAATTCATTCAAAAGACAGCAGACGATACCATTGCGATAAAATTTGATATATATAGTAGTTATTTCTCTGATCCTAATGTTTCTTTAAGATAGGGACAATGCAAAAAATATGCCAACTATTTCATGTGGGCACAATTGCTCATTAAATAATACTAATTGAAATGTTAAAAATATTGAACAGTTTATTATAATAATTGTGGTATTACTTTAAAGGATGAAAAACTATGAGGTAATTTTCTGGTTAATCATAATAGTCATTCTTCCAGTAATGCTAAGTATTTAACTTTCTTTGCTTTTCATTGATCAAAATTAGTGGCACTGTTATGTACTAGTATACACCAAACACACACACACACACACACACACACACACACACACACACACCCATGGCAATCACATGCACATCTGAACATATCTCTGTAAGATATGGTAGTCAAGCAAATAATGAATAAATATTACAAATAAAAAGTTATTTATTATCTTATCTCATTGTTATTACTTCTGAAAATAGGAAATAGTTTGAGAATACTAAAGAGAACAAAATGGAAGAGCTTACATGTGTCTCCATCCAGGCTAGTTGGCTAAGGTTTCTTCAAGGTTTGCTAACTGAACAGTTACCTAGCAAAATTGACTGGCAGGCTTCATTGTGAAGAATGCCATGTCAGCTCCTAGGCAATGATCTGTTAGTCAGTAATGCAGTTGAGTTAAACACTGAGGTGTTTAGTTTTAAGTACTTCTTCCAAATTGCTCCCAAGTGTCCCAATTTGCTGCCAGGCCATTGCATCCCTATGAATAGATTTAAGTATTCAATATCATGTATCTTTCTCAGTCCACATATACACACAAACATACATACACATACACAGAGATATACATTATTGAGGTATTCAGAGGTGTGAAAAGCACGTTTTTATAGCACCTTGTCATGCCAGTATCATGAAGGTGTAGCAACCACTAAAATGCTTGAAACATCAAGTTGTAACAATCCTGTGTATAAAACATTGTGATTATAATCATCTTTAAACAATAATGCAACACTAGCTGAAAAATACACTCCTGGGAGAACCAAAGGTCGAGAAAATTGAAATACATGCAGAGGACTGGCCATAGCTCTTGCACTATGCCATTCTCTGTATATATGATAATGAAGCAGAAACCAGAATTAGGACATGAGTGCATTTGACCTTGATTGAGTCCTTGTGAAGCCAGAGGACAATGTGACAGCAGTGGGAACTGACAAAGTAGACCACCTGCTACAGTGCCTGGCCTTAAATGTTCACTGGACAGCATCAGGTGACATGAATAATTATGATCTTTCTGGCATTAAAGCCTCGATAGGCGTATTGGTTTTAAATTAATATTATTTCATTTTAGAGCACTTGATGTCAAAAGAGGAATGAGCATATTGGAAGCTAATTGGTGACATACATTTTAGCTATGTCATGATAGATAACATTTTGTCTTAGAATCTACTAGAAAAAATAACTCTCATGTCTACCTATGTTTAACAAATATAAATTGAGTATCTTTTATCCAAATTCCTTAAAACCAGAAACTTTGCAGAACATGAATATTTAGAGTTTCAGAATGATTGCTTCACTGCAGTCTAAGATGTTCCAAAACCTGAGAGTGTTTTGAGCATCATGTTAATGTCCTAAATGCCTTGAAACAATTTAGTATTCAGAGTAGGGCTAACCAATTTGTCCAAACAACTTATTTCTTAAAAAATAGCACTTAGAGACCAAATATGGTAGCAAATTACTTTGATCTTGACACTAAGGAAGTAGAAAAAGGTAGATATCTGAGTTGGAGGCCATCCTTATCTACACAGTGAGTTCCAGGCTAGCCAGTGCTAATTAAGGAGACTTTATTTTTAAAAAAAAGAGGAGAGAGCGAGAGCAAGTGAGTGAGCAAGAGATAACAACTTAGATTGAAAAGCTATCATTTCTTGTAAATCACTATATTTAAGGTACTCTCATTGATGAAAGTTGAGGTCTTTAGGTATATGCTAAAACCAGAGAAATCAACAGAGCTGAATCACCAAGTAACTGTGATAGAAATGCATTACATTCAGTTCTCATTATGTAATTGATAACGCTGATTTAAAGTCTGCAGCTGCGCAGTTGTATGTTGCTGTTTGAGGTAGTACAGCAATGTGTGGTAACGAATGCCTTCCACTGCTTGCTCCTATGTCCTCTTCCTCTGTTGGCTTTTCTGCCCTGTATACTCCTCAGGTGAGTGGGTGCAAGCATGTTTAAATTTAGAAATGCAAATTTAAAAAATATTCTGCTTAAGCACTTAGCTGTGAAACAGACTTCTTCCCAGTCTTATAAAGACATACTTTCTCATCTGTTCTCTTTACAGGTATTTATAAACCTTACCTGAGCAAAATCAGGAACGTAAAAGAGAACTGACTGCTTTCTTATGAGCACTCTAAAGGTCCCTTAGGAAAAAAAAAAAACCTTTACAAAATCTAATCTAAAAGCATGCGCTGTTTGCTGACGAGAAGGTAAAGGGAACAAAGATGTGAATGCAGAATTGAGTGGCTTGGTTAATGCAGAGGAGATGTCACAAAGGTAATTATTGTACTTTCTTCATCGAAGGGGTAAAGTAGTTTAGGTAGAATAAGGCCTGCAGAAAGAGGAGCTAGAAGAAAGGAGAAATGAAGAGCAGAGAAGAACAGAAGCAAGTATTTGCTGACAGATAGAAGAACAGGTGGAAAAAAAGGCATTGATAAGAATTAACAATGGGTGATGTGGCTAATTGAAGAGATACATTTGCAAACTTCTACCCACTTCACACTTCACCTGCTACCTCCCAGTGAGACCCAGTGGTTTCTGACTACATCAGTCTTCCTTCTGATTCATTTCTGGTTCTTGTCTCCCTTCCCTTCATTCTTCTTGCAGCATCCCGGTTTCTCTGCTAAATCCCTTCTGTTTGTAAGGTGCAAAGGTAACAGGTGCCAGAATCAACAGTCTTTTCTAGTCAGCACAGCTAGTGATTCAATCTGGGTGAGTAGTTACTCATAAGAAGCTCATTGAGAGCATAAATCATGGGTTGATGCTCATGGAAACTGTATTTCTAGCCAGACAGAGATACACGTCTCCAGAAATGCAAGCCACAAGCAAAGGTGCATTTGCTAGACAGAAGTCTTCTAAAGCCTCCAGTTAATTCCAATATGGTAAGTGAGTTCAATTCATGAGAGAGAGGAAACAGCCTGGGCTGCAAGCCCAAAGTGCAGGGGAGAACATCTTGGCATCTTTAGAAAACAAAATACAAAATGTAAATACTGCATGTCCTTGACAAAACTTGGAATGACCTTTAACACCTTCCTCTAATTTTCCAAGTTTCCCTTTATGAATGAGATATGTAATGTTTGTATGTGCGTGTATGGTTTTTGTTTGTTTGCTTGTTTGTTTAATTTTTTGACTATTTGTTGGTAAGGTTGGAGTACCGGTGCTGTGAATAGAATGGTTTTTTTGTTTTTGTTTTTGTTTTTTTCATTCTTTTAGTATTCTTCTGTTACATCTCAGCCTCATGCAGTGTTTTCTACCTTGGATTTCAGGTGAGTCTATTGACAGGTTTGTGAAGAGACTGAGTGCTATTCTCTATGTCTAGAACATCTGACTTAGCAGCTCTAGGCCTGAATATGTTCCTAAAACATTTCCTGGTGCTTCTGCTGATCCCAGGACCATACTGTGAAAGCCATGCCTAATAGAAAGCATCACTGAGACCTCACACAGTCTCAAAGCATTGAAAGTTTTAACTCAATCCTTCATATGGATGACTGGTTGGCATATCCACACAGTAGGGGCAAATGCAACTTGGAACCAAGGGTGATCTTGGCTGCGAGACAGTATCAGACAGCTGTCATAAGTAGGATAGAGATGAAAATTATCTTAATAGAAATTCATATGTTCTCAGGAAGCTAGGAAATCAAAAAGCAAAGATCATTAAAAATGCAAGAAAGACAAAGTCGAATGTAGGCTTCATTTGTTTTTTGGGTGAAGAGAAGTAGACGTCACCAGAGACTGAGAGCATACCTGCTGAGTGCTCTTACTAGTCATTTCTCAACTATAGGATAGTTCCTTTGTGTGAGCATTAGAGGCATGAGTGATGATTACTATTGGTTGTCAACTAGACAAGACTTAGGTTTGCCTAGGAGACAAATCTCAGGGCATAACCATGAGGAGTTATCTGATTTATATTAACTGAGGCAAGAAAAATCGCCTTGACCAGGGCCAGCAATGATCTGTGCACTGGAGTCCTGGGATTGACTGTGTGATTGAGCTGAGCATAAGCATTCACTGCTCTCACTCACTGACTGCAGGTGCAGTGTGATCCGATGCCTCAAGCTTCTGCCACCAGAGCTTCCCCACCAGCACGGACCATACCTTGTTACTTTTGTCAAAACATTTTATACCAGCAATATGCAAACCAGTAAAGCATGTGTCTCCGGGACTCAGATCTTCTGGTTGAATTTGTTGGGCTCCACTGTATACATACTGCTCCACAGTCACTGAATCTTTCCAAGAGAACAGCCACACACTTTCACATTCTCCATGTCCAATAAACAAGAAAATTTTTGTCTTTTATAACGCCCACCTCTCTGTGTTATCTGCCTCCTAACACTTGATCTTCCTCCTAATACTACTCCTAGAATCAGAAAGCATAAAACTGCCCCCAAACGCCTATGTGAACATTAGTAATGAGTTTGACTAACATGTCTGAATTTTTTTTTGATCCTTTTAACAGTTCTTTGATGGAGATAGTATGTTCTAGGCATCTTCTCAGAAGTAATTGAAGTTGATAAGGTTTTTTTTTTTCTTTTTCCAGGTCACTTGGTTGTTGTGTAGCCAAGCTCATTTGGAACTGCCTATGGAGGGGAGAAGAGCCTCTCCATCACTTGCCTGTCTCTATTCTGGTCCATTTGTCCTTGGTTGCCTCTCCTTCTTCAGCCTGTACTTCACTTCCTCATGGAATCTTTTTTTTCACAAGAAGGAAGGTATTTCCATTCCTATTTTGTGCTGGCTAGTATTTTGTCACCTTGACACAAGTTCTAGTCACCTGGGAAGAGGCAACCTCAGCCAAGCACTTGCTTCCTTCAAGCAGGCATGTAGACAAGTTTGAGAAGGCGGTTTCTAGTTTAATGATTGATGTGGCAGCGCCCAGCCCACTGTGGGAGGTGTCACCCCTAGACAGATGTCCTAGGTTGTACAAGAGCAAGCCATTGACAGACAGCCAGGAAGCAGCATGCCTCTGTAGTCTGCTTCAGTTCCTGCCTCCAGGCTCTTGCTTGAATTTCAACCCTGACTTCTATTAGTGATATACTGTGATGCAGAAGTATTAGTCAATTAAAACCTTTCCCTCCCACAAATTGCTTCTGGACATGGACTTTATACCACAGCAATGGAAATCAAACAGCACTGATCTAACATCATCATGTCTATGTGTCTTTGCTGAGTGCCTCCAATCCTGCTTTTTGTGTTGCAGCTCAAGCTCACCATTCTCTTCCCTTTTGGGTATTATTCCCTTACATTCAAGTATGCTTTGGTGTCAGGGGCTTTATACTTTGTTCAGCACACATCTCTTTCTTTTTGAATTCATGGGACTTGTATTCTGTGGTACGATGACAAAACATGCCATCTGTGACCCATTCACTAAAATACAGTTCTAGCCCCTGAACATCCCTTTATGTTTTTTACACCCCATATAGTAACACCGTAATAAAATGTGTACTTTCTTTCTCTAAGACTTATGTATGAGTTTTAGTTGTTTGAAACATTTATTTAATGAATAACAGAGCCCCTCAAAAGAGAATGTTTTACATTATGAGTTTGAGTGAAGCTTAATTTTTGAGCAAGCACAAGGAAATGGTCTAGGTTACTTTAGGAATTCTGAGACTAACATAATGAAATTTAAAATTCATAAGGTAAATACTGATACTATTTTCTATAATATTAGAGAAGCCAATGCTTTAGGTATACACTGAGAGTCTTTACTTGTGTGTAATTTATGTTTGCCTACATAAAATAAGTCTGGCTTTCAATACTGCTTACCTCTTCACTTCATTTTATATTGTCATTAAGAAAGTTTCCCAAATTAATCTTGTGTTCATTTTAGAACTATTTCTCCTCCAAATATTCTACATCCTGTCTTTCCCAACATTTCCAAGAATCACATTCCTCCTATTTTCTACCTTCATAGTAAGACCCAGCCCTTGACAATTACAATGGGGTCGTTCTTAACTAGATGAGGGTCTTGGAGCAAAGGCAGAGCTGACACAAGAAGACAGTGAACCCAGTTAAATCAAAAAGTAAAGGTGGAGAAAAGACACAAGCAAACAGAAAGCCTGTCCATCAAAGCAGGAGAGTGGCCCCGGATGTGCAAGAGCAAGGGATGGTGTAAACACTGTGTTACATTGTCCCTTGATGGGAATTAAAATCTGCACTTCAGTTCTGGAGTACTCTTCCTGAAGTGAAGCCTGAGGTCCTCTAGTGTCAAGTCTTGCCTGGCATATTGTAGTTACATTATTTCTATCTTTATATTACTGATTGCAGAATGAGTCAAGGACATTATACAATTCTTCAATCTATAATGTACGTAACACAATTATACATATTATCATCCAAGAAACATTGATATAAACCTACACATACATATATGTATATATACACACATATATATGTATTTATTACTAAGCTAATGTTTTTGTTTTGTTTTGTTTCGTTTTGTGTATGTATCTGTGTGTACATGCACATGCAGTGAGTGTGGGGTCTTGGATGATATCAACTATTTTACTCAGCTGTTTTCCACCTTATTTTATTTATTTATTTTTTTGAGACAGGAACTCTCATCAGACCTGGGGATGTTGATTTGGCTGGCCAGCAAGCCTCAGAGAGTTATCTGTCTTTATCACCCAGCACTGAGTTTATAGGCTAGTACCATTAGATATGGGTTTTATGTGGAAGTTTGAGACCAGACTCAGGTCTTCATGCTTGTATGGCAAGTAATTTATCCACTAAGTCATCCTTTCCACCTTCTGATTTTTTTCTTACTATGGACTATTTCTATGTCCTTGCATTTATTTTGAAATCTATTGTTGGATATTTTATTCGAGAAAGCATATTATTTTGGATACACAATCACATAAGGTAAGCAAAACCAAACGTGCCAACTTTGCAATCGAACATGGCTTTTAGTAACTCCAGAGTGAGGATCTGATAATGAGGTATCAGCTGTCAGTATCTCAAGGATTATCTGTTGCTATACATGTTCCCACAATCCAGTCCCTTCAAAAGGAATTCACTTACTCAGTCTGTTTTCCTGGGCAATCTACTAAAGCAATAATGAGCAAAGCCATTAAGCAGTATCAAAAATGACATCAAAAATGCCTCTGAGTTTTTAGGTTTTGATTTAGTAGCTGTTATCAAGCATTGGGATTTCTTCATTTCCCTTCTCTGGGTGAACTAGGTAATGTCTGGGACCACATTCCCATAAGCAACTTTGAAAAATAGAGCTTTATTAAAATGAACCATAGATGTAATGCATAGACTAGACTGATCTTTGTGGCACTCTTTGCCTAGTCTGATTGGTAGAATAAAGTGGGACTCTTAATGAAAGCACATGGTGAGGTCATTTTCCTTTCCTCTTTTATAAATGAAGACTCAGCTGTTTGCCAGATTCTTAGTTAATATTGCACCATCAGTATTACCTATTGCATAGTGCTAAAATATAGAGTTGTACTCAGCTCTAATTGTTGTCATTTCTCTGGCTTTGTTTGTACGACTATACAACTCACAAAAGCACACCAACCATGACATGTATTCAAATCCTGATTTGGAAAAACTTAAATCTAAATTCAATTCTAATTCAGTAAGCTAGGTGATAGGGACAACTGTGGCTCTCCAGTAAGCTGAGAGACCCTTCTGATGCTCTTGGATGCATTTAAGCATCCATCTTCTGGGGAGTTACCCACCCCATCAGTATTCCTGTAATACATTCTTGTCATTTTACTATAACTTAAACATGCTCATATGTGATTGGTGCTTTTGTATGTCTGTCTCTCCCATAACCTCCTATTTTACATTTGATTCTGCAGTGTTATCCACTAATCAAGTTTATGAATGAATTATTCATTAGTTGTTTTAAGGAGTAGCAAGAAGCACACTTGAAAGGGATATGGAAATGGATTTTTGAGCCCATGTGAGGGAGGTTAGTTGTAACGTATTTGTAAGTTTTTCTATTCTATTAATGAAAACACGTGTATTTGATATTACTAACCACGTCCCACTCTTTGTGACTCTCTGCTTAAGGGAAAACACAGAGCAGGAAAAGCGTATCAAGAGCCCAGCCCACTCTCACCCCATGACTGCATCCTTCATGAACGGTGACACAATCACTTCTCACTTTATTTTGGTTTCGTTGAGACAGTGGTGTTCACAGTCTGAGCTTAGATCATAGGTATTTTAACACTACATTTAAGGCCTTCTTTCTAAACACTTTTATACAATACAGTCAGTTATAGTGTGTGTGTGTGTGTGTGTGTGTGTGTGTGTGTGTGTGTGTGTGTGTGTGTGTGGTGTTAGTATGGAAGCCAGGACTTGGAGCATGCTGAATAAGGGCTCCAGTACAAGCTATGTTCTCAAACCCAAACCCTGTTCTCACTGCCTTTTCAGTTCACTCTCACTGGAATAAACACAAAGACCTGTTTCCCTGTCCAGAATTTTATTTTGTGGTTCCTTCACATGGATACAGACGTGTTTAAGCTATTGTCACACTCCATGGAGTCTTGGGTGAGTGTCCAATCCAATGCAAATGTGATCAAGTCTCAGGGCTGGTATACTTCATTTTATTTATAGGGGAGTCTATTGTGGGGTCAGTGTCTTTTAGGTATGCTTGCTTTCCCATAACCATTTTCCTATTTCTCAGTGCAAAGGACCAGTACAGGCTATGCCCATGCCCTACTTCTCAGCTGTATCCGGTTCATATTCATATTCCTCTTTCGCGATTGACTTAATGAGCATTCTGTTCCCAAAGTGTTTATTAAACTTAACAGTCATGTTTTATAATTAACTTCATATTTTAGAACAATCCTGGACTTAAAGAAATATTGAAAAAAATGGAAAGAGAGACTCTGGGAACCTATCCTTAATTTCCCCATCATTATTAACAACCTATATTATTATATAGTTCTATCAAACCAATTTTTGTCTTTGATCCACTTGGGCTTAGTTTTTATACAATATGATAGAGAGGGGTCTGCTTTCATTCTTCCACACATGGAGATCCAGTTTTCCAAACACTATTTGTTGAAAATGCTGTCTTTTCTCCAGTGTATGTTTTTGGCATCTTTGTTAAATGTTAAATGGCTATAATTATAAATACTGGTGTTTGGATCTTCTTTTTTTCCATTGGTCTACATGTCTGTTTACATGCCAGTACCATTTTCTTTTTATTGCTTTGGCACTGCACACTGTATATAGAGGTCTGAAGCAATAGCCCCTCAAGCATTGTTCTTTTTGCTCACAATTGTTTTGGATCTCCAGGGTCTTTTGAGGTTACATACAAATTTTAGGATAGCTTTTCCCCCTCCCTATTTCTGTGAAGAAAGAGATGGAAATTTTAACTTGGGTTGAATTAAATCTGTTAATGAATTTTGTAGGATGGTAATTTTCACAATGTTAGTTTGATCAATCCATGAGCATAGGATGACTTTCCATTTTCTAGTATGTTTCTCTTTTCAGACATTTGAAGTTTTGTTTGTAGAGGTCCTCCTTCACTTCCTTGCTTATATTTATTTATTATTTTTATTTTATTTTATTTGAGGCTATTATGAATTAAGTGCATCTACGATCTTGTCCTCTTAGTATTTTTGTTAATGTATATAGAAAAATCCTACTTATTTTTGTAAGTTGATTTTATATCCTGCCATTTTCCAGAAATTGTTGATAATTTTTACAAGTTTTCTGTTAGAATTTTTGAGATCTCTTTTACATAGGATTATAGCATCTACAAATAGGGATAACTTGACTTCTTTTTTTTCCCTATTTATATTTCTTTAATTTTCTGCTGTTGCCTTATTGCTTAAAAGCACAATATTTAAAAGAAGTAGGGATGGTGCACAGCCCTGTCTCATTCCTGCCTTCATTGGATTTCCTTTATATTTTCTTCATTTAGGATAAGGTTGGCTGTGGGTCTGTCATTTATTTTAATATGTTGAAGTATGTCCCCTCTATGTCTATCACTATAGGACTTATATCATGGAAATATGTTAGATTCTTTCAAAGGCAAAGCATTTTAATATTTTTCTTTTTCAAAGCTGCAGATTGAATTTGAGTATTCCTGAAACAATTGGCTTCTGGTCACTTTCCATCTGCTCTGCTCTTCTCTATTCACTATTTGTATTTCCTATGTGTTTGCCCTTCACCAGTATGACAGAGAATTAGGCTGATTATTTTAATTACTCGGTTGGATTTTTTTTTTTTTTTTGCAGCCACTAGGCATGTTTCTCTGAAACACCTTTTTCAGAATACATGGTAACCTAAAAGATTTTGTATAAAATAGTGCCGTGGCAGAAAAATGAAGCTTCCATATATTTGCCAACTAGCCAAATTACTGAATGAATTTTGCAAGAATTACAACTGTGCATGCAGTCTCTGCTCCTGGGAAGAACTGCTCTGACCTTTGTACCCCTGGCCTTTCTTCTGCTCCACTCCACATTCATACAAGGGAATTTAGGGTTCTTCCTCATTCTGTTACTTCTATTACACCTTCAAGTATTTATTTTTTTTCATTATGTGCATTGATGTGTATAGGAGCAGGTATCTGTGCATGTGAATGCAATGCTCATAGAGTCCAGAAGAGAACACCAGATTGGATAGAGCTGGAGTTACAGGCAGTTGTGGGTCAGGCAACCTTGGTGCTAGAAACTGAACTTGGGTCCCCTGCAAAGGCAAACTAAGCTCTTTAATCACTGAGCTGTCTCTCCAACCTGTCACTCCTTCATTTACTTTCCCTTGTTAGTTTAATCTTTTATTTTCTTACAGTTCACCTTGTGTAGCAGGAATCTTAGAGAGTCTTATTAATAAAATCGAACCTGGAGCCAGGTATTGGGGTGAAGCTGGAAGATCAGAGAGACAGAACAAACCACAGCTGGTCAACTCCTCAGATGGTCTTGTTTCCTCAGACTGGAAGCCTCTGTGTCTTCATATCCGAATGGCTCTCAGCTGAACTGTGCTGCTCAAAAGCCTAAAAGCTTAACCAACCAAATGCTTAACCAGCCAAAAGCTTCTAGTTTCTGGTCTTCACGCCTTATATATCTTTCCTTTCTACCACCACTCCCTGGAATTAAAGGCTCGCTTTCTAGGATTAAAGGCTTGCGTCACCATGCTTGGCTATATCCTTGAACAGATGGATTTCTGTCTCTGGAATGCTAGGATTAAAGGTGTGTGCTACCACTGCCTATCCTCTATTTTTAATATTGTGGCTGTTGTGTTCTCTGACCCCAGATAAGTTTATTAGGGTGCACAATATTTTGGGGAATACAATACCACCACAACCTTGTGCAAAAGTTGTGGCTGACACATAGGAGAGATGGGGGCCAGTGACCATTTCCAGTCTTTTTCAGTGTTCCTATCTGCCTTTTATGGGAGAGAGTGCTATAGGTTTGCTACTTCAATTTCTTCAATGGGCCTCCTCTGTAATGAAATTATTCTGTCTTTTATACTCTAGAACATTAACTTTGCAACTTTGTTCTTTTGACAAATCTAAATGTAGCTACTTTTAAGAAGTCTCTTGAGGTCTCCATTTTGCTGAAAATACCTCTTGCTTGTGAGTAGTCTCACGGTATGATATACAATAGGAATGCACCTTATGGCATAACTAACTGTGTGGCCATGTGCATATGCAGGGATGTGCATAGACCTACAGATACACTCGTTTGGATATAAAAATTTAAATCTTCTTAATGTAAATTTTGGAAAGAGGAGCTATAGATGTTGATGCATTTTGCTGTCTTCAAATAGAGTCCAGTAAAAATTTAAAACTGGGGCAGAAAATGCAAATGTCTTATCTGAATAACTTTTCTCTGCACAGAAGTCAGAAGTTTTATGTGGGAGCCAGTATGTACCTGCAGAGAGAAAACATTTCATGCATCTAGTTCTTTTGCAAAGAGGCTTCCCCATTTGCATGAATTTCCTCCCAGATTCTTAAAAATGACCTTTGCCAAGGATCACATGGATCTTTCTTAATAGTCACATGTTGCAAAACCATTTCTTTATCCATCTATACCCTCTTTCAAAGCCTTAAGATGGAGAAAGCTTCAATAGGAATCTCATGAATCTATGCATGATGATGTAGAAGGTACTTCAGGAGTTCAAGGTCATATGTGATGTGAGAGTTCAAATAATAGTAAGGCAACAGAAAATCTGCACAAGGAAGACTAAAACACCATCTTTATTAACTTACTCAAGGGGACTTGCGTGGTGAAGAAGTTGATAAGTCAGGGTTGTCGTGTTTATTACTTTTAGGTGCACTAATTTTATTTTAGGAATTAAACCTAATAATTGTGCTTTGCTTTATTTTTGGTTACCTTATTTGCAATGATTTTCCAGGCACTTGAGGGTGTAGATTTCATTAAATCCAAAGAGAGCATTTGTTTTAGCTTAATAATACATGCGAGTCCCCAAACAGTAAGTTGGTTATATTTAAATATGATCATGTGGGGAAAGCCATAATTGTTATGGTCCATAAATGCATGAGAAAATGGTGAAACAGGAGTAGTACCTATTGATCCCGCATAAGCAAAAGCAGAGTGCATTACATTAAGATGCTCAAATGGAGCAATATCTAACATGAAATTACTATACATTAAATTCCTACCTCTCCAAATGTACTTCAAGCATCCTCTTACTGAGAAATATCTACAAAAAGCACTTTCATTCTGTGCATTTAATATTATAGTACCTTAAAGATAATGCTTAAAGCAACGAGATCTCCTCACTTTGAATTCAAAGTGTGTATTTAAGGCTAGTGTTCTTACTTTCATTATTTGTGATGGGAATGAGTTTCAAAGATGAGGACAGAGAAAATCCAAATCAAAGAATAAATGCTAGTAACTCGTGTATTAGAAGGTGGTGATAATTACATAATTTCTAGTGGAATTCTTATTTTCTTCGGTGAGGTTGCTTTTTGTATTTTGCAATATCTTGATGTTTAACAACCTATCAATAAAATATATAGTGACTGTTGATTTATTTTCTGTTTTGTTTTACAGACAGGAGGTTGTTCTTCCCTTTCCAAAATAGCAGGATGTTTCTGATAACTTTGCTTTGTTCTGTGATGGACTAGTCACTTTCAAGTGATGGGTTAGAAGCTGCTGTTAGAAATTTTGGATATTAGTAAACTAGGTGAAAGATGGAGTGTTGATTTCTAACCCACCAAATGATCTTCCATATCTTAAGCTCTGACACCAGCAACAACAGAACCAAAGTATAGCCAAGACAACCCTTTAAAGGCCTATTCCTTCTCTCTCATGGACAGCTCCCATGTGCCAAGACAGTATCCATTTTTTTGCCTGAAACTTCCTTTTCTATTTCAAGACATTAAGCTGAAATTTGAGCCACAAGGTACAATACTGCCTGTGTTCTGGTTTTGAGGAAAAATAACTTCTAAGAATTCATCATTAACTCTTTTTCAAGGAGGGATTTCAGGTAATATAACGTTAAGACACGGTTATGGGCAGCCATGCGGTAACTATTTTCAAAGCTTAACTCAGAAGAAGTTGCTATAAGAAGCACTAATCATGGGAGTAAAGTGTACATCTGTTATGTCCATACTAAAACACCCACTTTTGCCTTTGACCCAGCCCTTGTAAGACTGTGGCCAGATCTTGATCCTCTCATCAGCTCAGCTTTTGGCAGTGTAGTAGACAACTCTTCTATCAATTCATCATTGTCTACTAGCCTATGACCCAGCCCTTGCTACTATGTTAAACTCCTGCATCTCTCTTTGATGGTTCTCTTTATTTATCACTCTCTATTTTTTGGTTGTCCTGATACCACTGGAGTCCCAAAACCTGGAGAAATACTCCCCAGGCTTCAATTTTGAATCTATAGCTGATTTTCCATCAATTCCTCTAGCAACGATTCTATAACCATTTTAACTTCTTGGAGGCCCTTGGTAGATTTAAGACCCAGTTTTCTACAATAGAAAAAAAATATATTTTAAATGTTCTTGTACAGTTATCCCACAGTAGTTTTGGAAAAGGAATTTATGCTCTCAGCAAGTAGAGGACAAAATATACTAGTTGAAAAAAAATGCATCAACAGAACATGGATATACTCCTTAATTACCTTGTACTAATTCTTTAAACAATACAACATAGCAACTATTTATGCAGCTCCTGCATTTTACAAGGTTGTTGAAACCAATCTAGTCATGCTTTAAAATGTATGAGATTATTCAAGTGCCAAAAAGTACTCTCCAGACTGCTAATGGAGGAAAGCAATTAGTAGTCCTACCTAGCTATTAGACCACCACAATAAGCAACATGGCAAGATACCGATGAAAGTGCAATCGTGGCACTCACATGTTGGTATTAACCAGCATCTCTTTACTTGAACTTAAGGCCCACTCAAAAAGAAAGAAATTGGGCCTGGTGCTAGACATCTAGCCAACTACCTTGAGATAGAGAGGTCATGAATCATAGGAGAGCATCTACTACCACCACTTGCTAGACCAGCATAATTCCTTAACTGCATCTAAATCTTATCTTTATTCCCACAGTTAAGTGTAGCTGTCACTCCTCATCAAAGAAGTTTCTCTTTATAGAAAATGGAGACCAGTATAGAAAACTGCAATTAGACACAATGCAAAAATCAATGCATTGTGAGGAGCACCGTCCCAACGGATACATCTACATCACAGCTCCTACATCTATGCATTAAGGAACATTTGGGAAGAGGGGGTGAAAAGATTGTAAGAGATAGAAAGCCAGAAAGCCTAATGTGAAACTACCTATCTTGAAAATGGCAGTATAAACAAGACTTGAACAATGAAAATATCAATAGATAATGCTAAGGCAGAGGGAAAAATTCTCGTTCTAGAGAAAGAATTGTAAACAATTAATGATTGCTGAGAAAGAAAGAACTAGACTCTCCCATGGATGAGCACTCTATTGACTGATCATTCAATACAAAGTGGTTAGCCCTGAGACCATATAAACACAAACAACACAAATAGACTCAACAGTTTGTATTTATAGATCATCTGCCCAGAGATAGGGGTATGGCTTTCTCAGTGTGCCTAAGCACACGAATGGTTTGGCCTGCTCCAAGCAACTGTACAGCTATTTAATTTTCATCCAAGTGCTCAACACAAGTGTTTATTCACCCTGTACACACCCCACATCAGATACAGGTGTCCCCTAAGCACATGAATGGAAATCTCCACTTGGAAACAACCTGCTTATCTACTCAGAAGCAAAGAGGCTTCAGGGCTTCAGAGTTCAACTGTAACTCTGTCCAAACAAACACTGTGGAACAGAGCTCCAGAGTTCCTTATAGACATTGAAAAGCTCTCCGTCCATTAGGGTGGCCACTCCAAATACAAGATCATGTCTCTCTAGAAATGTTTAATCAAGAGCTCAGTTCTATCAGCTTCTTTGGGCATGTCCTTTGTCTGAGCTTCTAACTCAATTGATCCTTAGTCCTCCAGGAGGGAATATGCTAATGAACATGCAACCCAAAGGGCAGATCTTCCCTGGACTTTCTGAATTCTCTTTGATGAAAGTTGCCTGACTCTTCTGATGCAGAGTGGGGGAGAATGCAAGACTGTGGTTGATGAGCGAGCATCCTGTCTCATAATGTGAACAACCAGGATCAGGTGCACAGCTATTACACTGCGGAGACATCATAAGTTTTGAAAATCTGTCTGTAGAGGACTGATTGATTGTCTAGCTGTCATATGAATTTTAGTTGGGGCAATATTTTCAGGGACAATACTATCAGCTTTCCCTGTTCAAAAGTCATAAAAGTGCTCTAGAGAGATTTTAGAATGTAAAAAAAAAAAGGAATTTAGTTTTGTTACTAAGTTACAGTATAAATACCTGCAGCATTTTATAAGATACGCTTAGAAATAATGGTAGAGATATTAGTAGTAATACACAGCTGAATTAAGAAAAATGAGATGGGCTGTAGAACACTTACCAGGCTTGAGATTCCCTTGGGAACAGTAAGAGAGTATTAGGAACTCTGAATTAGAATTAATCTGTGGAAGGAGACAGGAGCTTATCTGTTTCTTCAGCCACATGGCCATGAGAATCAATGAGTGTATGCACATAGATGTTTTCTTGTGGTAAAACTGGAAACTTTGCAAATGGGAGTTCTTCATGTAAACTGAAGATGCGAAAGCAGGCAGGCTAGGAATCACTGAAAAACCTTGGGCTCCACAGTTGTTAGCACCCCTCTCTGATCAAGGTACATGGGAGCCTAGCTCCTTTACTTGCATACTGTGTGAACCCACACATCCTCCATACTCTTCACCTAAAACCCTCAGGCCCCTACCTGGTTGTCATGCGGTTATTTGTACACCTCTCCTGGAAGGAACAATGAAACAGCTTTCTCCCACCCTAACACCAACTAAACAGAGCGCTTCTGTTCAAATATATTTCCTATCTAAGTTCAAAGGACAGAAAGACTGATCTATCCTGAACTCCTCATGGGTGCATGAGCAAATAGGATAAAACTATGTGTCTCCAGGTAAACATTTAAGGGATCATTGCCTATTTGCCATTATATACCTAGGCATAACTGGGCATATGTATGTTTTAAATCAGATGCAATACAGACAGAGACACATGCAGTACAGAAAGTGATTATGTTCCCTACTCTAGTAATCAAAACAGAGGACCGAAGCCGGGCGGTGGTGGCGCACGCCTTTAATCCCAGCACTCGGGAGGCAGAGGCAGGCGGATCTCTGTGAGTTCGAGGCCAGCCTGGTCTACAGCGCAAGATCCAGGAAAGGCGCAAAGCTACACAGAGAAACCCTGTCTCGAAAAACCAAAAAAAAAAAAAAAAAAAAAAAAAAAAAAAAAAAAAAAAAAAAAAAAACAGAGGACCACCTTCACTATGCCCCTTCATATTTAAATATCTCTTTCTTTTGAGCCCCATAAAAGGAACACCCCCCCAATAAAAAACTGAGCCATTGAGTATATTCACTCACACATCAGCTGTTCCCTTGTAGTGTGTTCATATCTTTTCTATTGCTTTGCTTTAAAGAAAGTTTCCTTGTTACTTTTGCAAATTTGTGTAGGCTTTTACTTCAGTTTCTTGAATAATAAGTCAAAACTCTAGATATTCCTGGCCCTGACTACTAGATAGAAGACAGAGTCTTACAATGTATTGTAAATCAGTAAAACTTAAATATTTTATTTATATGATTAATTCATTTGACTTAGCACTTTCAGTACATAGTAGTAACATTAGCCACAAAGAATAAATCATTTAATCTTCTACATTTTCAGAAATTTTATGATGAAACTATGTGATACATTGTCTTGTGTGTAATCTAATCTGGAAAACACCATTCAGAACTATAGTGGATCATTTTCAATAATGAGAGCATCAAAAGTTACAGAAGATGAGAGAACTTACTCCATGTATCATACCTACAGGGAAAAGATGCTGGGTCCATACAACTCAATCTGGTGAATTTAGCCACTGCTAGTCATAACAACAAGTCCACTTAGGTTTCTTTTTTTTTTTCTTTCTTTTTTTTTTTTTTTTTTTTTTTGTTTTTTTTTTTTGTTTTTTTTTTTTTTGTTTTTTCAAGACAGGGTTTCTCTGTGTAGTTTTGCGCTTCTCCTGGAACTCACTTGGTAGTCCAGGCTGGCCTCGAACTCACAGAGATCCACCTGGCTCTGCCTCCCGAGTGCTGGGATTAAAGGCGTGCGCCACCACCGCCCGGCTCACTTAGGTTTCTTTTAAGCAAGCAAAAAAAAAAAAAAACAAAACAAAAACAAGGAGAAGGAACCTAAACACAGGATGACAGAAAATTTAATAATTGGAGCTTGTGTTTGGGCACCAAAGAAGTTAAGTTAAAGAATAAACTCCAGGCCAGTCACAGCCTCATGCATATAAAAGCAA